TGGATTTTCAGTTTAATTTATCATTTTAATTTAAACTCAGGCTCAGCAATTTCTCCTTTTAGCAACATTTGTAATCGGTAAGTTGCGACAAGCTAATTATCACGTATCTATTAGCATCAAATAGCAGACTGGTTGTAATCGTTAGCATGCTACCAGCGTTTTGCTACAGTTTTGGTTTAGTTGTAACTTCCTGACAGAAAGTCTACAAGTTATAAATTTATTGGTTCAGTTGAACCGTTTATTCATGTTAACATGTTTTTAAATGGTTTCCAAAGAAGCTACGTTATGCTAATTAGCATGCTAAAAATGATTGATTACCATGCTTGTGCTCTTTTCTTGTTGGTGTTTCTGAATTTTGGGTTTGAGTCAACTCAGTTAAACTTATAGTTCTGATTATATATATTATACATTTCCTATGTAACTGTATTGGTTCTTTATTAAAAGCTAGTAAGTTATTGTAAGAGAAGTTTGTGTGAAAATAAAGGAAGATCAAAGTGTTTTTGTTGTAGCTCTGCATCATTCATCCAACAACTGGAGCAGACGCTGTGAATGATCCGGCGCTGGCCGGGATCCAGACGGTCCCAAAGTCCTCACACACGGCTGCGTATGAAAACAGGGAGATTGATTAGACAAAGCCCACAGCAACACCAATCAGCCTCTCCTAGCTTTGCTCCCTGGAGCGTTTCCTTCTCTAATTCCTGCCCCGAAGCCAAAACTTATCACCGCCACCAAACACTCACTGCCTCTTCTCTAAACCGGCATTATTGTCGCCTTTTCTACATTTTTAAAGCAGGAACTTCTTTTAATGTGAAGTTTCAGTCGTAAGAGTCGAATATTCACTTACTTTAGTTTTTGTTTTGGTCTCATCTGATAAGATCAGCTCAGGTTATCAGCTGCTGGTGGTTTTATCAGCTGTACGCTTGTTAGGGAGTCCCTTATGAAACTCTGGATGTTTGCAATACACAGTCAAGTTAATTAGAGAAGAGAGCAAATAATAAAAATGTTCCTGGAGCTGTAAAAGCCAGTCAATGAACTTACTGGAGTGGAACTCCTTGGCAACCTGCAGCGTCAAAAGTCATTACAGCTTCAAGAAGAGCCTCTTTTCTAGATCATACCAAACATTTTGGCCAAACAGCAAAGTAATCTCCTTTATTGTTGCTCCAAACTGAACCATTAAGTTTAGCTTAATGGTTCTGTTATGGAGATTACACTCTAAAACTCTGGTAAAGTCACCATAACAGCTGGAGCAAGTTTTATATGTCGAGTATTTCACAGATGAGGACTTCAGGATTTGGTCACATTTAGTGTAGAAAACAGAAAAGATTGTTTTAGTGCCAACTTTAGCCAGCAAACTGTGAAATAATCTTATTTTTTATGAACTGTAGGTGTGAATGTTGGAGAATAAAAGCTGGTATTTGTTGTGTTTTTAGTGTTTAGCAGAGATGAAGGACTTCAGGTCGCTGTTAAACGTCAATCAGCGCTAAATAGGAACTGATGGGAAATGATTTCTGACCCAGAGAAGCAGCTCATAATGCAGGAATCAGACATTGACCTGTGAGGTCGAAGCGTCATAGTTTACTCAGGGTGTGTTGACGTCATCTAAACTGACTCATTTTATCCTCACCCTCAGCCATTTCATCCATATTCAGAGACATCAGCTCCTGTTTTCTCTTTCTTACTGTCAGATGTCCTCATGACCCGACCGGAGCTCTTATTTACCAGCTTCACACTGCGCCGTTTCCTGGGGGAGAAAAAGCTAATATTACATTTTCCTCTGTCAGCCTGGACCCTCCGTCTCTATCAGAGAGGAATAAAGCAAACAGAAAACTGATTCCTTCCCTGAATCGCTTCATGAAAAGCAGAAAATTAGGATTTTCAGAGTGAATCAACATCTAGACCGGAGTTCCCACCTTTAGTGATTTCATACTTACAGAAATTAATTTAATAATTTCACACATTTAATTGTGAAAAACATTAGCTCGGATATCACATTGCTTTAGTCTAATTTGTATTGTTTTTGTTATTTATCATTTATCTACAATTCAATTAAATGTAACTCATATCCAGGTTTCTTTAAAGTGTTGCTGTAGTTGCTAATGGCTGTGAGCAGGAAGGCTCTCCTGTAGAGGCCTGTATTACAGTGCAATGACACAGCCTCTGACTGAAGACACTCAGTGTTTGTATTATTATAACATTCTGATGAAGATGATGCTCAGGTTTGTCCGTAATGTTCTTCGTTTGATGAAATGATGCAGTTTGTTACATGTTTTGTCAGAATTTCAGGCAGGAAAGTTGAAGGTTTTCCACCAAAGTAGATCTGAAATACATTTAGGTGTCTGCAGTTTAATAACCACGGTGCTTCTAACCGTTTCTGGTTCAGTCTGTAACAGGAAGTTACTGTGTTTGAAAGGACAGAATTAAAAAACTGCAGGTTGTTGGCTTGGATGACTAACTGTAGAAAACCTGATTCCTGACCAAACTGATGGGAAAATCTGGCTTGGAGACAGAAGTGGTGGGTCTGCTAATCTGCTAACAGCGGAGCAAAGCGTTTTTGTTTCGCACGTTAGCATTTTTGCTAAGTGAAAATGTTTAACGCTTTTAGCTTCCCCTCATTTTTCTGGATGAAGCACGAATGCACTTTGCTGTTCTGACATCTGTGTTGAAGTTTTGGTTATCGACTTTTAATAATTCTTCAAGGAGTTAGCTGTTTATATTCATGCTCTTATTCTGAAGGGGGTGAAGATTCTTTTTACGCAGCAGGTCAGTTTCCTCTCCTTGTGTTCTCCAACTGTGATGCGATTCGGCAGATGACGTTTATTCTGTATTTAGTGCTTTAGCTTCCACTAAATTTCATGTTAGTTTAGCGTTAGCAGAACTAATGTGTAGGATTAGCGCTTCAGGGTTAGCACAGCTAGCTTTTTAGCTAGCGGTGCCCATCACTCCTAAGTCAAATTGATTTAAGGAAATAGTTTCTCTTTTCTATCCTGGTTTACACAAACTATGATAGTGAAATCAGGGCCGTTGCAGATAGAAAAAATGTGTCACTTTTTGTGAAAAAAATTCAGAAATTTTCTAGATCACAGCTTGGAAAAGCAGAAATTTGTAAAGTCAGAAATTTGATAATAAAAATTCAGGAATTTGAAATTAATCTGATTTCTTTTTACAAAATCCAAGGAAATTTCTAAGTGTGAAAGTTGAAAATTTGCTAAGAAAAAAATGAGAAATTTTGAGGTTAATTTCTGAAATTTTCAAGAAAACAACTTGGAAAAGCAGAAATTTTGACATTAATCTTAAAAACGTGAGAAAAACATGGAAATTTCTGAATTTTGATTTCAATCTTGGACAATCAGAAATATTTTTGTTTTTTCTTGAAAATTTCTGAGATTATTCTCAAAGTTTCTCAGTTTTTGGCTGAAATTTGCTCCTTTGTGTTTTCTATCTAAACCCTTGAATTTAGCTAGTTAGCGCTGAAGAGGCTCCAGGCCTCCGAACATCAGACCTCCTGCTGGTTTCTCTGGCTGAGGCTTTCTGGGCTTCAGCTGCGAGCGTCTCGTTACGCAGAGACGGATCACAGCAGGTAGGCGGCCGAAACGTAAACGAGCCGGTGGAGAAACGAAGTTTCACATCTTTAATTTAAACAACTTTTAACTTGAGGTTCTTCCATCTGTTACATGAATGCAGCTTGTATCTGGAAATGAATCAGTCATAGTTTCACCATCACATTTCTTCATTGTCACAAAACCAAATATTTTATAATTAGTAAACTAAATATTTAGCTCCAAATATAATTCTTAGCTACAAAGCTAAATGTTGAAGTCCAAACTAAATATATAGTTAGCGAGCTAAATGTTTAGCTAAACATATTTAGGCCTGACATAAATATATAATTAGTCATTTAAATACTAAACTTACCAGCTAAACACTTAGATCCAAACTAAATATTTAGCTCGTAGCTTACTAGCTAAGTATTTAACTTACCAAATAAATATTTAGCTATAAACTAAATATTGAGCTCTAAGCAGTGGCGCAACTGCACATTATTCAGGTGGATGCGAAAACATAAATCGGCGCCCCCCCGCCCCCCGAGGTGAGGAACTTCAGGGTGAAGGACCGACGCTCAACCCCCCCGAGGCGACACTACGTGGAGTGTAAAACTCCCTACATTTACCTCGTGATGTTTGAGAGGTGAAGGAGCGTGAGGCGCTGAACTGTATGGGAAAACATAACCGGCGCGTCGCCCCCTCCAGATGGGGTTTTGGCGCCCCCTCTGGTGCTGCGCCCCTATGCGTTGCATACGCTGCATACCCACTTTTTGCGCCTCTGGCTCTAAGCTTATATTTAGCTCATTTGCAAATTCACTTGCCGGTAACCGGAAGTTGATTATCAAAATAAAAGCTGGGTCTGGAGAACTTCTATACAAATACATAGTTTGTACACAAATATTTAACTTGCTAATTAAATATTTAGTTTGAAACTGTGTCATGTGATTAAAACCGGTTGTTACTACTGACGGAAACCAGACAACAGGAAGTAGTTAGAGGATGATGGCGCCACGTTTTTTTTAATGACTTATGGCGTGTATAGCGTTATCCCTGTGTTTATTTTAATTTATTAATTTTATTTACTGCAAATGCAGTTGTGTTTTTTCGACATTAGCGGAATATTGACCAAGTTTTGAGCAAAGCAGCCGTTTGCCGTCAGAAAGTACCGATGCCTGTTTAATCACCATGGCAACAGCAGCGAGCCGCCCTCTGATCCGATTTGGACCGCAAGATATGAACTTTATCGATTTATTATTTATTAATCTTAATGTCAGCTGGAATGGTTTTCTTTGGAAGCAAAGCTGTAAGGGAACTATTGGTAATTTTATTTAATGTGACGTTCTTATCAAAACGGAAGTACACACCCTTTGACACTCACACACACACACACACACACACACACACACACACACACACACACACACACACACACACACACACACACACAGTTGCGCTGTAAAACTTGAAGTTTTCCTGCTAACTTTCCAGTCGCTGGGATCAGCAGTGGCAGCAGCATGTCTGGCTCTCCGTCCTGGATCCTGAGCGCCTTCTGGCTCAGCTGCCTGCTCGGCTCGGCCGCCTGCAGACGCGGCAGAGGTAACGTGTGTGTGTGTGTGTGTGTGTGTGTGTGTGAGAGAGAGAGAGATGCAGAGTGTGTGTGTGTGTTGTTAGTTTTAGCTGAGGTTCGCCTTCTTTCCCTGACTTGTTGTTGGTGAGCGGAGAAAGTTTCTGCGCGTCACAGTGGATCAGCGCGCGCAGCTGTGGACTCACTCCACGAGCTGCTGTGTTTTGGTTCCGTGTTCGGTTCGGTTCGGTTCAGGTGGGTTTTAAAGTTCGGTATGCTGAATTTGAATCAGATGTAAGTAGGCAAATCACTAAAAGAGTTTCTGTAGTTTGTCTCTTATTTTGTTCGGTTCGGTGGCAGCAGAATCCTTCTAAGTCCCGGTCAAAGTCCAAACCGACACCCGAACCACCGAACCGCCCCCTGCGGCGATCTGCCTTCAGCATTTCTGCTCCCGGAGCTTAAAAGAGATTTTTAAAAAGTTTATTTTTCCTTGTTTTAAGCCAGGAAGCAGATCGGTTCTGGTTCTGGTTCTGGTCGTGCGGGTCACTGGATGGCACTGCCTGCTCCTCTTACCTGACATTCAGCTGATGCCACGGAACATGTTCAGGCTCAGTTTTCCCAGAATGCTCTCAGCATTTTCCACATGATAAATTACAAAAAAATGAAAACTAGCATCTTATTTAGAATATTTATATTCCAATGACGTCAGATTAATCAACATTCATCCAACACGTGATGGAGAGTCGAGCTGATCGATTAAATCGGCTCCTGTCCTGAAGGCTGCAGGTTCGCCGATTGATTTCCAGCCTCTCTGATTTCTGGACTGTTTCTAAATAACTCAGATTCAGTTTTACGATCCTGTTATTTGGTCATTCCTCAGTTTTTGTTTTGTTTCCTCACATGAAGAGACTGATAGCAGAAACTTAGACTCCTAATATAATAATACTAAATAAAAGCTAACTTCAAACAATACGCAGCTCTGACTCAGAATCAAACATATATGGGCTTTGTGAAGTTTATTATTTTATAAATGACATTAAACTAAATATTTAATTACCAAACTAAATATTTACCTCCAATATAAATACATGTATCAGCTAGCTTAATATTTATTTAACAAACAAAATACATAGTTAGCAAACTAAATATTTACCTGATATGAAAAATCCACTGGCACATAAGCAGAAGTGGACAATAAAACAGCTGATATTTATTTATTCATTTATAAATGTCAAAGATTTAGATTAAAGCTAAGTATTTACATCTGAGCTAGCTAAATGTTTAGTTAAACTATTTTAATTGATCAGCGCAAAATATTTGCTAATATGCAACAAAAGTGGACTATCAAAATAATTGATGGATATCACACCTTTAAATATTTAATTAAAAAGGATTTAATACAAATTAAATATACAGGCTGCACAGTGGAGCAGTGGGTAGAGCTGTTGCCTTCCAGCAAGAAGGTTCTGGGTTCAATTCCCAGCCCTGGTCTTTCTGCATGGAGTTTGCATGTTCTCCCTGTGCATGGTGGGTTTTCTCCAGTTTCCTCCCACAGTCCAAAAACATGTCAGGTTAATTGGCCTCTCCAAATCATCAAATTATCCCTAGGTGTGAATGTGTGTGTGCATGGTTGTGTGTCTCTGTGTTGCCCTGCGACAGACAGGCTCCCTGTCCAGGTGACCTGTCCCTGACCAGGCGTCCTGTCCAGGTGACCTGTCCCTGACCAGGCGTCCTGTCCAGGTGACCTGTCCCTGTCCAGGCGTCCTGTCCAGGTGACCTGTCCCTGACCAGGCGTCCTGTCCCGGTGACCTGTCCCTCTCACCCTGAACATTAGCTGGAGAGGCGGCAGCAGCTGCCAACCCCACTAAGGGTGTAAAGAAGATGGATGGATAAATATTTAGCGCCAAAATGAATATTTAGCTTAATCCTAAATATTTAGTTAGCAAACTAGATATTTAGTTTACTACACATTTAGTTTGTATGTTAAATATTTAGCTTGCTAATTATGTATTTAGTTTGAATATTTATTTGAAGCTCATCCAGTTAGCTTAAAGCTCTGAGCTAGATGAATATTTAGTTTGACATAAACAGATAGCTTTCTCTCTAAATATTTAGTTTGTAAACTCATTTAGCTTACTGAGTACTCAGTCTGAAAGTGTGACGTTTATAAATATTACTTTAAAATGTTAACCCATATCTCAGTCTTGTTTACCGGCTAATTAATCCAATTTATTGCTGATAATTTGTGACTGGCCCTTTAAGGCTCGTTGTCGGGACCTGAACGTGTCTTCTTTTGTTTTCTTGCTCTCCGTTTTTTTACGATGTCTCTGTTGTTTTGTTGCAGTTTTAATTTCCCTATAATCTGGAATTTATTGATGCGTCTGCAGACGTTTCATCAGCAGGTCCCTCATGCAGATAAATACACTAAATACTTAATAGGTTTACTCTGGGAAAACCACGACGTTCCCAATGGGGGGAATAATAAAGATTTCCAACAGTAAATAATGTTTTTAATCCCTCAGACATGAAGCCACGGGCGGCTCGGATCAGCTGTTTCTGTCAGATTATTACATGAGGGAAGTTTTGTGAGGAGGCGGCTGCTCGCCTCTGCTGTTTGCGTTTCATTAATCTGCCGTCTCCTGAGTCTGGAGCATCAGCGGCGCTTGTTGCCACGGTGATTGTCTCATGGAGGCGTAAACACCGGCGCTCATTAATTTGCAGAGAAATTTAATTACTCTGCGTTTGAAGTGGTCCTTGTTGTTTGAGCCTCCGGGCCACAGGCGAAGAAGAAAACTTTGAAGTGTCTTAATTATCACTTGCAGGAAGCTGCCGACCTCAGAGCTGAGACGATGCTGCAGCTGAGAATCATGAGAGATGAATGTCCTGAGAAACGGGACCCATAAGGACAGTCCAGCCTGCAGAGCGCCCCTATGTGGAAAAACCTGAAGCAGTAACATGGAGACCAAAACCAAATGTTTGTCTTCAATTCACTTTGTAGGTTTTAGTTTACAGATTTTAACCATTAATTAGGATGAACTCTGACCTCTGTGTTGCTTCATATGGGTTCTGTTAATGTAAAAAGTGTCCATTTTGGAAAAAACCCATACAGTTCCCAGTTAACTGCACATTATGGCAGTGTTAGCTTGAACTGTTAGCTGTCACTTATGGGGCCCTTTGCTACCCACAAACACATTTTGACCAGTAAATATATTTATTTTGCATAAATAGTTAGTATTTCTCAATACATGCTACTCAGCATGTGAGCATAATCCAACACGCCAATTGTAGCATTTAAGCTAACATTGGCGTCTTGCTAAATTGGAAAGTGTCTTCCTAAATGTACCAGAATTTATTTCTATTAAATAAATTCATCCGTTCTGGTTTTCCTTCAGTAACTCGTTGATTGTTATGGAAGTTAGTCTCTGCATCATTCTGGTCACTAACTGAACCACTTCCTGTTTGTTACTGAACCACTTCCTGTTTGTTACTGAACCACTTCCTGTTTGTTACTGAACCACTTCCTGTTTGTTACTGAACCACTTCCTATTCCAGTTCATTTGAAGCTAATGAGCCAATGTTCTGGTGGTTGCCGTGGTAACAGGTGTTTTCCTCCCTGTTTGATTTTGACGCGTTTCGTTACTGCAGTTTGGTTCTGCTGCAGTTTGGTTCTGCTGCAACTTGGTTATTGGTTCTGCTGCAGCTTGGTTATTGGTTCTGCTGCAGCTTGGTTCTGCTGCAGCTTGGTTCTGCTGAATCCTCCAGCATCTTTGATCTCCTGTTTGGTGTCACCTGATTGGCTCTCTGCTCTGGCTCCAACTCGACGCTCGGATTCAGGCTAATCCTCCAGCTCAACGCCAAACTTCAGCTTTTACTTCAGTTAAAACACGGAAAACGTCTGCAGAGGAAGAAAGGCTCTGCAGACTTTCTGAGTCGCTGCAGAAAGTTGAGGAGGAGAAGACAGGAAGTCCTGAGTCTGACAGATTACAGAGAACAGCGGCGATAAGACGCTCTGCTAAAACACGTTTCAGGCCTCCCGTTTCTGGCTTTACTGACCCGTTGCTGACCCGTCAGGCCGGCCCTTAGAAAGCTGATCTAGTGTTATTATCGTCTCTTTCATTATTATTTATACATGTATTTATTGATTTAATTTTGTCCCTTCTGGGCCTCCATACAGTTGGAGTTAGTTTCAGCAGCTGACAGAAAGCTGGACTGGTGTTTGTTTTGTCCAGATTCTGATTCTGTAAAATGTTCAGAAATCTTTTTATGTTTGATTTTACTTTCAAGTCCAGAGTTTTGTCTCCACATGAACAGTTTATTCACCTAAACGCTGCCATTTTCCTTTCATTTTTATGGTTTTCTTTGGTTAAACCAAAGTTTTTACAGGCTTTTCGTGTTTATTTGTATGGAGGACTTCCTTGTTTTGGCAGATGGAGCCGTTCTACTTTCTCCCCATGACGCCACGTAGAGCTGCAGGCAAACTTATGTCCACATCCCTGTTTTCCATTTCTGCTTTTGGGCAGAGACGCAGGCGACGTCTGTCACGTTAAAGGGGTCAGAGGAATATTTTGACCTCCACGGAGGGAGTGCTGAATTATTATGCAACGTAACTGGGTGAATTTTAAAAACAAAACTGGGTCATCATCCGTTTCTACTGGTGGACGGCTGCAGGTTTCAATTCAGGTCACGATGGAAGAGAGCGAATCCTAAAGCACTAATCAACAACAGTAGTTTGGTTAAAGCACTATGCTAACAAAGCTAATGCTAAATCATTATGCTAACAAATTATTTAATGGAAGCTAAAGCTAAAACTGTGCCAACAAGGTACTAAGTGCTAGCTAAGAAGTTAGCTAGTCCTAAAGCACTAATCAAAAATATTAGCTCTGCTAATGCTACAATGCTATGCTAACATGCTATTTACTGATGCATTGTGAGTACAATGTCTTTTACTTACTTCAAAATAAGAGCATGAATATAAATGTTTCAGCACTTGCAGAATTTCTAGCAGTCGAAAACCCAAAAATTAACTTAGGGGAAGCTAACTTTACTAAGCATTTTTAAAGTTAGCTAAAACAAAAGATTAGCTCTGCTGTTAGCAGCGTTATATCAGTATAATGTATGAATATATCTGAGCCTGTGGGTTTGATTTTAGATGATCCAACCCTGGAAAATTACCAGTGAATGACCAGACTGGTTTTGCTGGTCACCCGTTGCAGAACAGCAGAGTCTGAAACTAACCGACTGATTGACTCACCAGAGCAGAGACTCGGTTGAATCACTGAGACAGAACAGGAGCAGGAGCTCTGCTTCACACTTTCTCCAAATATCTTCAAAGATTTCCTGTAGCAGTCAGTCTTACAGCGATTCCGAAGAGGCCTCTGATGACACGCTAACAGCTAAATATCTGGGCAACACAGATGAAAACAAATTTACTGCGATAAATGAAAATGTTGTTTTGAGACCATTTTCAAGTAATATAATGCTAATTCTAATGAACATTTAACTGGAAAACATTTTAAATGTCCAAAATAAAACAGCAGAAACAAATAAATCAATTATGGATCTCTGTAAACAAAACTGTCCTTAACAAACGGCTAGTTGAGACCAGAGCAACAGACTGAAAATCATTTATTGTTTAGAGACCTAACGATGACATCATCAGCTGGTAGCTAACTCTGCTAATCCACCTCCTTTGCTTTTGCAGCTCCTCTGTAAGTGTTGGAGTCAGGAAAACTGAACTTCCTCCTTGTCGCGCTGCATCCTTTCAGATGCTAATCCGTTAAAGTAATACACCTTGTTGCTATGGTTACGGATCACAACACCTATCCAAAGGTGAAAAAGTGAAACAGAAGGTTTGGTGTGACCACGAAGCATCTGTGGGCCGAACGGCGAGTATTGATCGCCGTTTGGTTTCTGCTCCAGTGGAGAAACAGTTAATCAGCTGGTTTAGCTTTTCCTCCGACCACCTGCCTCAACGACAAAATGGACGCCTGGCTCCTTGTTTCCCCGCAGCAGTACCGGGTAGCTCGGCTCAGGGCGGTCCGGTCCGCGTTTCCAAAGCTGATTGTTTTCCAGAACCTGCTGGATGCTGGTTCTGATCCGGTCAGGAACAATCTCTCCATCCATCCATCCATCCATTCGTCTGTTTTCAGGTTTATTCTTCTTTCCTGTCCTTGTTTTAGTCCTTCATGTCACACTTTCCTGATTCCTGATAGTTCACTGTATGTGTAAACAACTAAATATTTAGTTTAAAGATAAATATTTAGCTAGCAAGCTAACTAAATATTTCTCTGTTAGCTACAGCTAGCTACTGCAGAGCTGAATATGTAGGTTAGCAAACTACACATTTAGCTTCAAACTAAATATTAGAAGTTTGAAGTTAAATATTTGGTTAGTATGCAAACTAAATATTAACAATTATCTTCAAGTAAATTTGCATATTAAATATTTAGGTCTGAGTGAAATATTAATTTAAAAAAATGTAGCTTGCTAACTAAATATTTGTTAGCAAGCTACACATTTAGATTAAATCTGGATATTTCGAGTTTGACGATAAATATTTTGTCATCAAGCTAAATATTTACAATTATCAGCAAATTAATGTATTTGTTTAGAACTAAATAGTTAACTGGCTCACTAAATATTTATGGCTGAGCTAAATTATAATTTGGAAACAAAATATTTAGCCTGCATTAGCAAGCTAATTATTTAACTTCAAACTACGATGCTAAATGTTTAACTTAAACCAAATACTTACTTACAAAGCTACATTTTATCTCTCAATACTTAATTTAGCTTTGAAAATATCAAACATGCTTAGCAGCAAATAGCAGAGCCTTCAGAGTTTTCCTGTTTCTGAAGTGAAGTTCACTCTGAGGCCTCGTTTCAGTTCATGACTTCATGTTTCATTTCTACTCCTCTGAACTTCCCTCCCTTGCAGAAGAAAACCTCATGGTTTGACCTTTTGACCCCAGTGTAGGGTTACGCCCTTCGCATGAGGCTGAGGGAGTTCAGCAGTAAAATGCTGGGCTCGGCTCTGACTCAGCTGCAGCTCTTTGTTCGCCCAGGGTTCGGCTCTGACGCCTTATAAAGGCATAAATGCAGCAAAACCAACCGGCATGTGAGACGACCAGCAGTAACGAATGGTTCATAAACCGTTACACAACAAACCCCATGTTTCACTGAATCATGTGTTCTGTAATAAAATCGTGTGAAATGAGATTTTAATCAGAAAATTGGCCCCGCTGTCGTGTTTAAGCCAATTATTGTTATCGTTTTTTCATTTAGAGGATTCAGCATGGCCTCATTCCTGCAGAAAACGGAGCCTCTGTTCCTGGCAGACATGTTGGCTCTGTTTCTGTTACTGGGTCGGGCCGGTTCGTGACCTCGGACCCACAGAGGCATTCCCAGATGTTTGGGGTCACGACCCTGCTGGGTGTCAAGAAAAATGGTGTTTAACCGACACATGACTGCAAAATGCTAACGTTAGCTAATATCTGACGCCTCCATCTTGTTTCCATCTGGCGAAGAAGGAAGTTCCTCTCAGCGTCTTCAGAGGTTTTTGTTTCGTTTCCTTCGGTGGTTCTTGGTGCAGCGCCCCCTCAGGCCAGGAGGGGAACAGGTTGGTTTGATAAAGTGGCTCAGTTAATATTTAGCTTCAAGCTGAAAGTTTAGCATGAAACTGTGACATTTCTAAATCACTAAATAAGATGGTGAAATTAAAATTAACAGGTTTTTTTTCTCTTGTGATGCACAAACCCCGTTAAATCCAGAACTTTTCAACCCGGGGAAAACGTGACGCATCAGATTATTTTTAAGTTTCTCTTCCAAATGTTTCCATTCTGTGTGTTTTGACTTCACGCCCCTGATGAACATGTTGGGAAACTCTTTCTGCACTGTTAAACGCAGAGGTGTGTTTTTAAACGGTGAGCAGCTCGTGATGAAGCTGCTTTGAGGGACAGATAACGGCCGGCTGATCGGATCGGATCCAGAGATCAAACCGGGTTTCATATCAGCCTGATTATCAGCCTGTGTGGAGAAGAAACGATTCACTGCAGCTCAGCGTGTCTCTGCAGGCTACAAGGGTTTCACTTCCAGCTCTGGTCTAAACAAATAAACCAACAACTGCAGGCAAAGGTCACTGCAGCTCTGCAGGAGGACAGAAAGCTGGAGTCGTTTCTCATCCTCAGGTTCTGACCTGATTTCTTCCTCTGCAGAAATTATTATTAAACTGTTTTTAAAGCTGCAGCAACTTGTACAGAAAATATTTATTGAAACTGTGACAGTTTGGCATGAGACAGACAACATGAGGAAAACCGTCTTCTCCCAGAGGTAACAACCAATCAGAGCTGGGAGGCGGGTCTTAGTGCCGCCAATCACCTTCTGTTTCTGAATGCTGATGCTAGTTAGCATAGCCACTCATGACAACGGATTAACGGTTTTCCTGTTTGTCCTCCGTTAGCCTAAACCAAAGTTAAAAGCTAATGCTAACCGCTAAAGTTAAACTGTTTTTTTAAAGTTTGTCTTTTCTTCCTCTGGGCAGGTCATGGCGGCCATCATAGCCCCATCATCTTTAACGATTTCTGCGCCATGAAAGATGAGTCGGGGCCGTGCAAGGCCATCAAGGAACGCTTCTTCTTCGACGTTAACACTGGGAGCTGCGAGCGCTTCGAATACGGCGGCTGCAGCGGAAACGCCAACAACTTCGAGACAATGGAGGAATGTGAGGAGGCGTGCGTCTTCTCAGGTGGGACAGAAATATAAAAACTTCTCAGGTTTAAACGACGTCTGTTTGTTTTATCTCCTGCTCCTTTCCCAGCTGCATCCACTCACCTGTAATTAGCTCATTTCCCTTTTTGCTGTTGTTTTATTCATCATTTTTCACCGCCAACCTCCTGCGTTTTGGTCCGATCGTACCGCGCCCATCATCACATATGTGATGTTTTTATGATAGTATAATCTCTCACATCATGGATTTTATCACCACCTTGGGCAGAAAAGGTTATTTTATAACGAGCAGCGAACGCAGATCTCTGCCAGCCCTGATTTCTCAACAGTTTTGCTGAAGGCTATAACTTCTGTTGAAAGCAGTTCGCTGATACTTGGCTCTAAAACAGAGATAAATAAAAGACGATTTCGTCATAATTTACGACGGTGCTTGAACATTTATTACATTTAAACAGTGGTGAACACTGCTAGCCAAAGCGTTAGCTGCACCAACCCTGGAACAGGCATAATAAACATTAACTCTGCTAAAGCTAAAGTGCTAAATCAGCATGGTTTTCAACAGAAGCTAATGCTGAACCACTAAATGTAACTATTTATAGCAGTGGCTACCACCAAACAAGAGGACAGGAAACAGAACTCCATCCCCTTCAAAATAAGAGCACAGATATAAACTTCTCACTACTTGAGGGATTATTAACTAAAATATTAGCATGTGAAACTTTATTCAACTGAAAGTTTGAAACAGCCCCATAAAGTAGTGGTTTAGAACTAGCTAGGGGATGCTAATGGTGCTTAAAATGTTCAAAGTTTGAAAAATGCTAACATGCTAAATGAATATTAGCTCTATTATTATTAGTGCATTAATTAATTTAATTTTAAACAACAAATTAAAAGGAGTAAATCCCTTCTCTTCCTTTTTAGCTTGATCTTTATGAGAACAAACACTTTAACAACACACATCATGATGCTGCCACCACCAAACCTGGCAACCTTTAGCAGCTCAGCTGTGTTTTAGCCTCTTTCATATGATAAGGAGTGTAAATGTCAGTCAGTAAAAACACGCAGCCTGCTGGATCGTGAAGGTGGAGGCAGCGGTTTGTTCTGGTTCTGCTTTCTGAGTCCCAGATGGAAAGTTTTGCTCACCTGTTCTCCTCCCATTCCTGCTGAAAGCCACAAGTTGGAGCACGCACCTGCGATATCTCAGCGTTTCTTTGGCCTGCATGGCGTGACTGAGCTTCATGGGTACAGCGAGGCCACAACAAAAGATCCGGATCCATTTCAACACTTTCTCCAGCCGTAAACATGAAATCTGATGAAGCTGCAATCTGCCTCAACAACTTTGTGCTCATTTTTGATTTTCTGCACATTGTTTTGTGGAGTTTTATTTCTTTACTCATCTACCTGTAATCACCTTTCAGTGAATTTTCTCCTGATTTGTCAGATCCACCAGTTTTCCTCCTCGTGTCCACTGATCTTTATGCTAGCTTGTTAGCACCGGAACACAGTGCTTGCAGAAGAAAACCTCAAGGAACTCAGTCGGATGTGATGATTGTCAAAGTGTCACGTTGACGTCCCCATTTACCCTGAATTATGATGTTGATGCGCCGTAATTCAGCACCAGAAGAAGACAGACGTTGTAAATCTGGACCTAAACAGTAGCTACGTTTCCACCAGTCCAAAAATGAGCAAATTCAACTTTTGAAATGTCAGAAAAAAAAGAAAAGAGGGAAATTGAAACGGTTTCTTACCCAGCAGGCCGTTGCTAGGCAACCGAAGGGCGAGAGAGTGAGTTGATGAAACTCACCAAACCTTCAACTTGATAAAACAACAAGAACAAATCAGATTTTCCCTTCAGAAGTGCAGAAAATGGAGCCAGAAAGTTAACATTTTTATCTAAAAATAAGAAATATTCTCATTTTATTGTCAAAATCTAAAGTTTCTTTTATGTGTGAAGTTTATTTGTCTACAGCCCATATTCTACTCAGAAAAAGTTCAGGATATTTGGCTTTCAGGTGAAATTTGTGGAAAAAAATCAAGAGAATCAGAGAAACGGTACCTGGCCCGTTTATTGGAGTAGACATTTCGCCCCCTAGTGGCCGCTGTTGGTCTCACACCCTAACTTCATGTATGTTTTGCTGTCTGATGTAAATAAAATCCTTTATAAAGTTGTAAATCACGTGAAGCATCAGGTGAAGAGCTTTAGCTGTCCTCGTTTCTCTGCAGATCAAAATGGCCCAAACAATCCCGGTATTCAGATTAAACGGATTGTTTTCTGTCATCCTGCAGTAATCCGGACTCCTCCGCTCTGATTGGCTGTCAGACGCAGGTTTTCTCTGGGGAGCCGCTACCTGCTGTCGTCTCCGCGCAGCGTTAGCGCCAAGCTGACAGATAATTCCTCCACAGCTTCAACAGATAATAACGTTTTCTGAATTATTCATCGGCGCGTTGCTCTGGAGAAAGAGCACAATGCTGCAGTCTTCTCACACATCTGTTTGCCCGGAGCTTTGAGCCAAAGTCACCTCATGAAATGCATTTTACAGCGATAGCGTTGTAATGACGGCCGGCCCTCGGCGGAGGGCGGCTGTTAAACAGATTAGCAAACAGAAGGTGTGCAGATGTGATGCATTCATGGACGGTTGGCTCACAGAGACTTCAGTTTGGCAGAAGCTGAATTCTTCTTCTGCCGTCTTGATTGATGAATAACTCTCTGCGGTCCAGAGGAGAGCCTAAAACAACTACGGGGTCCAACCAAGTATTTACATAAATTCATCAGCACCTCTGCTGCTTTCCTGAAAGGTAAAAGTTTACTCTGACATTTCTTTCTTTAAACACTTTGGGAAAACGCCGTGGCTGGCAGCGTCGGCAAAACGTTACCAAAACACTAATCATACACTTTACCTCTGCTAATGCTATACCAACATTTAGCTAATGCTAACGTGCTAACGTCAAACCTGGTGAGTAGAAGGAGCCGCTAACTAAAACATTAGCTGTACTGTTTTCAGAGAGCTAAACAAAATAACTCATTATAAAAACTAGATCTGTTAGCACCAAACACTGTTCCAGCATGGCAGTTAGCAGAAGCTAATGCTAAAGTGCTGCATTCAACCATTTGGAGTAGAAGACATGACTTCCCTAACCCTAAAACACTAATCATAAACATTACCTCTGCTAATGCTAAAGCAATACATCACCATGATATTTAGCAAAAGCTAATGCTAAACTCAGCATTGAGTAGAAGGAGCCGTTAGCTGAACCGTTAGCTGCTCTAGATTTGCTGGGGTTTTAATAACCAAACAGAATATAGATTTTGCGATTATAATTAATGTTGTGACGTCCCCCCCCTCCCCCCATCCCTCCCGGGCTGCTGGAGGATTGGACAGCTTTGAACTACATGATGATGTCATAGTTTTGTAAGTTTCTGATTGGTTCAGCTGAACCTCAGAGGTCACCTCACCATGTTGGAGCTAAAGTCAGTCTGTGCTTCCTGCTGCTGACGTCTCTCTGTTGTGTCTTTGTCAGACGATAAGAACCCGTGTCACCTGCCGGAGGCCCCGGGCCCCTGCCGAGGTTTGGTGAGGCGCTTCTTCTTCGACAGCCAGACTCAGCAGTGCAGACATTTCTACTACGGCGGCTGCTTCGGCAACGCCAACAACTTCAGGAGCATGGCCGACTGCCAGGCGAAATGCCTCAACCCAGGTCAGCATCGCTGCGTCCTAGTCAAAGCATCGGTTTGTGGCCTGCAGCTGCAGAATGTGAATGAGGAACGTTGTTTCTGTCCTTTACCTCGAAGCATCGACCGCATTTCAGAGAAGCGGCGTAATCAAAACAGCTCAACCTCAGATAATTAACTTTGTGATGAATTCTCAGCTGAGCATGAAATCACTTTTCATTTTGATTTAAATCGTTTTAACTGACCGGAGCGACTCAATTACGCTCAGCTTGCAGGCAGAAGTAATGTGGGAGCTGAGATTGTCAGGAAATAAGAGAAGAAGCAACTATTTCACTCTGCGATGCGTAGAAAAATCAACTAGTCTTAAACATTCTGGCTGTTTTATAAGATGATGAACTTTAATGATGAAAATAGTTTCCTTTCCTTTTTGCTTCTTGTTTTGGTTTTACAGACGAACCTGCGGCTGCGGCAGACGTCCATGTGAGGAAACCCGCCGTGACCCGTCCAACCATCGCAGCAGGTAGCAACCAGCGTTTTTATGAACATAATATTTACTTTTCAAATTTACAATTTGTGTCTACAATAATTAGAATATTGGACAAAAGTTGTAGCACATTCATAGAAAGTTAAGTGGAAGGAAAAAGTGTGTGCTAAACGTCAAAGTTAGCAGAAGCGCTAACTTGTTACTGGTTTTAGAAAGAAAACCATATATATTATACAGACATTATAAACATTATAGCAAACACACAGGAAGTTGAGTGGAAGGAAAAAATATGTGCTAAATAGTTTCAAAGTTAGCAAAAAATGCTAATTCCTCATTTAGAAAGATAACTTATATATTTCATAGATTTAAAATTAGCATATTGGTAAATTAGTGGATGTTTTTCTTCCACTTCCTAGATGATGATGTCATGCTGCTGCAAGCTTCTGATAGGTTCATTCACAACAGCTGGGAAGAATGAGCATGATTAGCTTAGCATACCAGGAGGGATGGTAGAAGCTAACTTAACTTAGTTCAGCTTTCTTCTTCCTAGAGTTATCGTCTCACCATGTGAATTCCTGCAGTTTTGAGGTCTAGCTTGTCGTTTGTAAAGTGGGCTGATTAACGCTGCGACTGCTTTCATTGAACTTTAAAAAGGACGAATCATAAAATCCATGGAGGTGAAATGAAGTCTCAGAATTTTATGAAGAAACTCATCTGTGTTTCAGTCTGTGTTCAGTTTTCAGCAGATGATTTATTCTCAGCTGTCTGAGCCTTTAAACATTGACGTTTCCTCCTGCCCTGAAATTCTCCACCTGTTCACATAAATGTCCTTCATCTGCAACTTTTCAGCGCCGGCCTCCTGAGGCAACGTTTACAGCATCGCCAGGCAATATGGGCATTTTAAGGAGGCCAATAATGGCTTCATTTGCATATCAGTGAGCCGTCTGATTAATTTAAAAACTTCATTCCCTGAATTTAAATCTGAAGTTTCTATAAATATATTTCAACTCTGCGGTTTTTGCACCTTTTAGGAGCTAATTTACACTTTCAGGAAAATACATTCATAATGTTTGTTTACGTAAAGAAATAAAACTCGTGTTAAAGATAAACGTAAAAACAGGTTATCTTCCTGTCACATCATGTCCTTATAAATGTTTTCATAGCAGCCAGTAAAGAGAAGATGCTTTAATAAATGTTTGTTTTGCAGAGGAGCTGACTGTGAGCGAACCGCAGGTGCAGCTGAACGCCTCCGACTCACAAAGAGGTAAAAAACCGTTTCATTATTTCAACAAAGGATAATATTTCATATTTAACGAGTTTAAACTCGTCATGTTCTAATTATTTCATCATTAAAACAATTAGCTGATGCTTGACTCTAATTCTGCTGCTGTTTCTGTGAAACATGCAGACAACTTTTTAAAGTAAATAATTAATATTCATACTGTCCTGTTATGGGGTGCGTTTGATTTATCTGTGACTGTCGCTAGCTGAACTTTACGATGAGGAACCTAAACGCCTCTCAAACCAAATCACATGACTAAAACCCTTCAAAACAAAAGCTCTAAATGTTTTTATCAGCAATTCAATATTAACAGAAGTGAAATTATTTCATTTTGTATTTTTTAACATAAAAATGTCAAATTCTCAAGCTGCTGGACTTCAGCTGCAGCTGAGATTCTTATCAGAAATAAAACGTCAAAATAGAACAAAGTGAAGAAAGTTAACACCAGTGTTAGCATCATGCTAACAGCATCGTTAGCATCATGCTAACAGAAACGTTAGCATCATGCTAACAGAAACGTTAGCATAATGCCTCCACTAACAGAATAGTATTGGAATAATGGCAGCAATAAGATTAGCATAAAATTAGCATTATTATTAGCATTATGCCAACAGCAACAATAGCATTATGCTAACAGTATCATTAGCATGTTGGTAAATCACAGCAAATGCCTGTTGGACTTCAATGAATGAAAAACTTCAATAATAAAATGGAAACTTTCTCTGTTGGAGATAAAATTGGTCAACAGGCTCCACGGCGCCTCCTGTTTGTCAGTAGAGGTCGGATAAAGTTGTTTCAGCAGAACAAAGCTATAAAAAAGACGTTTTCATTTTGGCAAAAATTTTAAATGGGTGGAAACAATTGGAGAGTTATTTCCCTGGTTGTTGGTGCAATTATCACCATGTTTCTGGCCGACATGTTGACCCACATGCAGAATCAGACCCAGAACCCGACCAAACACACAAACCGGAGGAGAACTGAGCACCCATTAAACCTCATCAAACTCTAACAGGACATTTCCCCGTTAGCTGGATCCACGGTTTGACGTTTAAACGGTGAAAACTCGATGGCACATGGTTGGCAGCTGGTTGGACTGGGGGTCAAAGGTCAGAACCAGAGCGTCTCAGTGCCCCCAGTTAGTTATGAGGGAGCATATTTCACATTTCCTGGCTGTTTGGTGTCGCGGCTGCAGAGCGCAGGGGGAACCGACTCCGGCTCCTTTAACTCAGAGACAGTTATTGCTCAAAAAAATCAATTTCACTCTGGTCAGAGAAAAATGGTGAGGAAAAGGTTCAGGTGGATCCGGCTCCCAGTTTCAGCTCCTGGTTATTAAGTCGAGTTTACCTGCCAGGCAGTTTACAGTGCTCCACACGCTAAGACACAATGAACGGCACAATGCAAATTAACAGAGAATCAATGAAAAGTTCCAAACCAAGTCAGAACTAATCAATATTTAAAGTACTCTTAATCAAAGGCAACAAGAAATGAGTTTTAGCCTTAGCATTTTAGCTAAATAGAGCTAATACACTAATGTTTAGTAAGTCAGTGTTAGCATGCTACTGATAATCCACAGTGATGATTGTTCTAATGAAGAAGTTAAGCTAATATTAGCATTTTAGCTTATTTAGATTTAAAAGCTAAGCTTAATATGCTAAATGGATTAACCTGTCTGTCACTAGAGGACCCAAATTTGGGTCCTCTCGTGACAGAGGTGTCAAACTCCAGTCCTCAAGGGCCGCTGTCCTGCAACTTTTAGATGTGCCTCTGCTGCACCACACCTGAAAAGAATAATTAGGTCATTAGCAAGGCTCAGGAGAACCGATCTACACAGGGAGGAGGTAATTAAGCCATTTCATTCCACTGGTTTTTACCTGTGGCACATCTAAACACTGCAGGACAGCAGAGGACTGGAGTTTGACACCCCTGTCATTGTGAATGACAACCTGAGACCAACAGGTTAACTTGATGTCAACATGTTAGAAATAACACCATACAAATAGCACCATTCAGTCTAAAATTAGCATTTTAGCTCATCTTGGTATAACAGCTAATCTTAGCATACTGAATGAAGTGAGTCAATGTTAGCATGACAGTGATAGCCATAGAGCTATCTCTGTCATTAACGTAGCATTAGCCTTTTTGCTAATTTTAGCTTGTACACTGTTGGTTACATACTAGATGAAGTACATTACACAACTTCAACATGCTACTGATAGCATTTTGGCTAATCTTAGCATTTTAGGTCATGTTTTCATACTTATTGAAGTAAGTTAATGTTAGTCAACATGCTAGTGATAACCAACATACTCATGGTAGCAATTAAGCTAACACTTGCAGTTTAGCTAACTTTGCTTTAAAAGCTATTGACATCCTGGTAGCTAACCTTAGCATTTGGCTAATTCTGGACATTATGGAGCAAAAACAAACACAAACTACCTTTTGTTTTAAGCCGTTCAGGCTCTGATTCTGCAGGATGAAACTCGGCAACAAACCCGATTCTGGCCAGAGGAGGCCCTTCGACAGGCCTCCTCCAGGTTTCCCAGAAGTTTTCTAGCTTATTATCCAATATTTTACTCAATAACAACATTATTGCTAAATAGCATTTCAGGTCCGTAAACTTTAAATTTCAAACCACAAAGATTGAAACACAAACAGGACGATGCAGATGAGGCAGACACAACCAGAGGCGTAACAGTGACACCTTGTGGCTAAATGGAAGAACAGTTTTGGATAAAACAGATAGATAGATAGATAGATAGATAGATAGATAGATAGATAGATAGATAGATAGATGTAATTTATCCTCCTCTTTTAAAGAATCTACTAAAACAGAGATATACCCACTTCTTTCCTTCGATGCTTTAAATCAATATTTTCTGCTTTTGCAGGAACAAAACGAGCCACTTAAAGCACAACGTGTTAAAAATCAGCCGCAGCAACAGAGAAAGGTCATAGATAACGCTGTGCAGAAATATAGTCAATGCAGTGGTGATAAACTATATAAAAACGCTTCATCCCAGAGAGCAGAGCAGATTTATTTTACCACAACAGAGCTGTCAGCGCAGACTAGCAGGAACCGGGACTTATAGTTGAGTGGAAGGAAGATCAATCAGCGAGGGAACAAAGAGACACAGGAGGAAAGATTAATAGCCAGAACTTCAGCTGCAGGTAGAAACTGCCTGAGATGTGAGTTACAGACACTTTATACGAAAATAAATCCACTGAAATTCTATATATGATTGTACAATAAGCAGTTTGAGATTTACTATTAAAACAATAATCAAAGTGACTCCACAGAAACTGCTTTTTGAATATTTGTGTTGTAGCATTAAAGAAATAAAACAGAAACAGTAACACTTTATTTGAAGGGGGTTGAATAAGACTGTCATGACACTGTCATAAACATGACATAACACTGTCATAAACATGACATAACACCTGTCATAAACATGACATGACACCTGTCATAAACATGACATGACACTGTCATAAACATGACATAACACCTGTCATAAACATGACATAACACCTGTCATGAACATCAATAAGTCTTCATTCTTCATAAATCATTACTGATATAAATTTGTTATAAAAGTATTACTGATTGCACTTTAAAAATTAGGTAACTTTATGTTATTAAAGGTAAAGTTTAAACAGTAATGATTTCTTGGTTAATGTAAAGTTGTCATAACAAAGACATTTTGAATAATGTCAACTTTGTAAAAAGTGTCATAATTTACCGAATGACGCTTTATGACAACAGTCATAAATATTCATGAAGGCTTATTCATGTTCATGACAGGTGTTATGACATGTTTATGATAGTGTCATGACAGTCTTATTCACCCCCCCTTCAAATAAAGTGTTACCACAGAAACTTATTTGCACTCATAGACAAAATTAACATGTTTACATATGTTTGTTTCTGATCATTATGAAGTAAATAATAGAATTGAAAAAAGTCCCAGTTTTAGTGTCAGGCTTCAGTTAATTATTAATGTTATATTTTCAGACATATGTATGTTTTCATGCTGCCTGCTCCAAGTTATTTTTTTATTCCAGAAGTTATTTTTCTCACCAAGTCGACCTCAAATTCCAAAATGGCTGCCATGCGTTTAAAACTCACTGATATGTAAATAAAAAACATCCTGATGGCGTCAAATCAGCCGACATCAGATCACCAAGTCTCTACTGTCAATAAAGAAGCACAAAGAAACAACATGAGACACGGGAAGAGCTGCGGCTAAAACTAAATGTTTTAGCTTGAAGCTAAATATCTAGTTTGTTTGCTAAATATTTAGCCTAACTGATTTATTCAGTTAGCAAGTTAAATGTTTAGTTTGTATTTTTGCTTCAACAACATATTTAGCTTGAAACGATGACATTTACAAATGAATCCTCTCTTTATTTCCTTTTATAACCCAAATTATTTCTGATAATCTGATTAACACGTGGCTGCACCTTCATGCTGCTGCCAGTGGAGGCGCCGTTCCTCTGACTGTCTGCCTGTCTTCCAGACTTCAGCGCCTCAGAGATCTGCTTCAGCCCCATCGACCGCGGCAGCTGCAGCGACACCGTCAAGCGGTTCGCCTTCAACCCGGCAACCAAGCGCTGCCAGTCGTTCACCTACAGCGGCTGCGGCGGGAACCAGAACAACTTCCTGAGCCGCAAAAATTGCTACCACAAATGCATCAAAGGCCATAAGGGTAAAGACTCCAAACACACAGAGACGAAGCACGCTGCCGCCGCCGCGCTGCTCCTCATCTTCACGGCTTGGTTCTGTTTCAGGCTCCAGGAATGGGATGATCCGAATAAGGAAGAAAAACATCAACAGCATCGTGAACCGCGGGGACTGAACGCCGCGCCCTGCGGGACGCCGCTCCTCTTCCATACATGTATTTATCTCTGTATTATAGCTTCTACTCTGTTTCTTCAGAAAATCTCTGTTTTTAATAGTGAGCTGTTTATTTTTGATTCATTATGATGACAATTCTGTGCACAAGTCTTGAGTCACTCCTCAGATTGTTTCAGGAAACAAGAGGCGGTTTAAAACTTTAGCACAGAAGCAAAATAGAAACATAAACTTCCTTCTGATCTGATGTGACATTAAGACATTTCTTTTTTTATTTCTAAACTTCGAGTTTTCAGTATCGGCCCTAAAAGTCTAAAATTATAAAGTAAAATAAGTTTCTGAATTGGTTAAATAAAGACCCAGAATGCCATAAGAGTGTGGAAACAGCAAAGACTGATGGGAAATATTTAAAGCCTGCTCATTTGACTCTTCTCGTTTTTATCTGCAATAATATTAAAGTTTCTATAAAAAACTAGAATAACATAAAGAGATTTAAAACAGTTGAAGTTTTATTTATGGTATCTTTGCTCTAAATTGTGAAAACATTCAGCTGCAACCAAAAAGAGTTAAAAAAATATTCTGTTTTATGTTTAAGAAAAAAGCTGAACCGATTCAACTTTATTACACAAAGTTGTAATAATCTGTAAAAATCCTGAAGAAAACTTTTTTTTTGCTTATTTATGCTGATGAATATTAAATCTGTATAGGAAAACATTCCGGTTCTGCCTTCATTTTGCATGAATTATTCATCCTGTTTGAGTTTTTGTGGATTGTTTTGTTGGTATGAAGCTTTTAAGCTGCAGATTTTGTTCTTTTATTTGTTGAAATATTTTCCTCTGCTTCATATTTCGGTCTCTGGATATCAGCTGTTTGTGTCTGCAGTTATTGATCGCTGTAAGTTGATTCATTTATTGATTAAACGAACCCCAGAAACTCTTTTTTTAGTCATTATTATCCGTCACCGCAGCGGAGTGAACACCAGGGGGCGCCGTTGCATTAAATGCTCCATTCAGAGCCGCCAGACTGGAAAACATTCAGCGAACTAAGAGCCATTTCTCATCTTCCTGTTGAGATAAAGCGTTTTGTTTCTCAGTGTTTTGTTGCTAACGTGATCCGGAGGATCATCTTCCTCTGTGTGTCTAATAAATAAGACATAAAACAATTAATAAGAGTTTATTAATGACTTTATGGAGTAAAAATCATCATCTGTTACTGTCATTTCCATCGAATGCATGAAACATCTGGATGCTGCTTTTTCAACCATCTCCAGCGTAAAGTACTTTAGAAACTGCATTTAGTATAATTATGATTTACTTCAAGGCCTTTTTCCATGTTTAATGTATTTTTTAATATTTATCTAGACGTTTTGAGATTCCCTGCTGCTCCTGTCTTTACTTTAAGACTCATTTCTCTTTTTTCCTACAGATTTTTATGGATTGATTATGAAGTATTGATAAAGTCAGGAGATAAAACTGGTTTAAAATGAGTGAAAACTCCATTAAATACATAGAAAACTTGCAGAACAGTTGATCAATATGTGGATATGTGGATTACTTTAGTAATTGAATATTTTGATGATATATTGGATAAAAATTATTCAGTTATTGCATTGAACCTTAATAGATACAGTTTCAGAAACTCATTGAAAATGCAGATGATTAAATTCATTTTTAAAATAAGAAAATAAACATTTTATTGCCTAAAATCAACATTTGATCTTTTGTAGCAAAGGATGGATCTGCTGTGAATCAGCTGCACCTCATCTAAAACTACAATCCACGAAGAAGACTACTTCCTGTCGTCTTCTTCAAGGTTTCGGCCAGGAGTAACATCCGGGTGTTGATCACGTGACTCCTGTGATAGAAAGACGTCTTCACGAAATACGTCCATTTCTATATGGCTGAAGAAAAAAACCACCTCAACCTTTTGATATAAAAAACGTGTTTTTCTTTTTTTTTATTGTCACGTTTCCATTAAGCGAATTTATTTGCGTCATTTCGATTTGCGCAGTTCCTAGTTGATAAAAGCGCAACCATTTATGATTTAATGGAAACAGCGCATTGTTACATGTGGACAAAGATTTGCGCACACTGGTGGAGGAACCGCAGTTGTTGCGGGTTAGAGTCCGCCCAGCAGCGACCCGCCCGCCCGCTGCGCAGCGTGGGAGTGGGCGGCCGGCGGCCGGGTGGGTGGGAGCCGCTCCGCTGGGCTCCACTCCACTCCACGGTGATGTAACAGGAAGCAGTGGGCTGACTTCCAACGTCAAGCTGAAGCCGCCGGAGCTGCGCGCAGAGCTGCCGCAGATCCGAACCGAGCCGAACCGGACCGGACCGGAGGAGCGTGATCGGATCCGAACCGCTGCGGAATAGCCGTGACCGGTAAGGAAGCTGGAACGGGTCGGGCTTTGTTGGGGTTTGATCCCTTGCTGGCGGCGGTACCAGTCCGTTTGGACCTCCAGTTCTGCTGATACGAACAGAAAAGGGTTCGGGCTTTTATTCTGGACCTGGATCCGTCCTGGTTCTGGTTCTGCAGTCAGGAGAAAATCCGCGGATTGAAGCTCCGATTTTCTAAAACCTTCCATTGATTGTCTGCTGGTGCTGAGTCAGCAGAACCGCCGAACCCGACCGAGCGCGTCCAGAACCTCCCGGTCCGGCCGTCAGCCGACCGCTCGGTCCGGTTACATAAGACCGAACCGGACCATCCAGAGCCGGACCTGCTGGCTGGGTGATGAAGAGGAGCAAATGATGATGATGATGATGATGATGATGATATGGTGGAGGTTCTGGTTGAACTGGACCTGCGGTCTGGTTCTGGTCCGGATGTCAGAACCGCTGAAAAACCCAACAGATTAAAGATGAGGAGTAAAAACCAACAGAAATGATTTATCCTGTTAAATCTGAGAAATAAACCAGGTTTTCACCACAAATGTTCCAAACTAAAAAGGTTAGAAAGCTGAATGTTTAGTTCATAAACTAAATATTTACATCTGAGCTAAGATTTTAATTTGGAATTAAATATTCACATAAATAAATGTTTTAATTTATAAATATTTTGCTCAGAGCTAAATATTAAAATCCAAACAAAAATTTAGGAAAAAATTAGCTTCTGCCTTAAATATTTAGTTCAAAAGCTAAATATTTAACTCCAAGCTAAAGATGTTGTTCATGAGATAAATATTTAGTTATGAAACAAAATATTTAGCTTAACTAAATATGTTAGAAGCTAAATATTTAAATCTGTCCACATTTTTAGTAGTTAAATAGTTTCTAAATAAATGAACATACAGAAAATATGAGTTTTATTCTCCTATAAGAAACTAAATAATCCAGATTATTGCTCTTAGTTTTCATGGAGTATTTTTTCAGACTCCAGCCGATAATCTGGAGCCGATGCTTCCTAGATTTTTATAATCCGTGACCCGTAACCCCCAGAGTGTGGCTGATGTTTTATATGTTGACAAAGCGGCTGGTAAACGGGGCCTGATGGCGGCGGCCATGTTTCCTAAATATCTGCCATCTTTGATCGCATGCAGGCGATAAATCTGAGTTTTTACTGGTCAGTATTTCAGGAAAGCTTCACTTTCCTGAAATAATCTAGGTTAATCCGCCTTTGCTGCTTCAAAAGTAGATTTTAATGGATGTAGAATAAAATCAGCAGGAAGAAAACTGGTGCAAATAAACCGAAAACATGTGAAAACTCAGTATTTTAATGAAAAACTGCTGATTAATAATGATATTAATTAATTAGTTATATTAATTAATATCAATAGTTATCAAGCTGCTGCATCTTTTTATCATCAGGGCTTCGTTGTTTTGGTTTATTTAGTAATTGTACTAATTTTGGTTACTGAGGACTGTTTAGGTTTTTAAAACTACGGCGAGCAGAAAGGCGCCGTAACCATAGCAACCGACAGCCGCCGCTGCTAATCGCTAAAGAAGAAATTCAACGACATTTAAACATGGCTGCTGCTGAGCACTTCCTTGTTTACACTGTAAAAAAAAACGGTGTTTTGTATTCGTCAGATCCATGTTTGTTTTGAAACACGGTTTATTTGATCCTTTGATCTTTAATTTGATAAAATATCAGATTCTCCGAATGGTGGAAAACGCAGCGACGCGCTAAAGATCATGATCCTACAAATTATTCACAGAAAACCCGACGGGCTGCAGAGTTTTTAAGAGAAAATGAGAAGTTGATCTACAAACTGTTTAGAAAACAGCCAATCAAGAAGCTCCATTTACCTTCCCTGGCACTGATTGGTTGAAAGCTGAGATACAGGAAACTGTAGATGCTAGTTTCTGCGGTTGAGCTAAGACGTTTGTATTGATGCGTTTTAAAGTGTATTTGGTGTTTGAATATTAAAATACGCAGTCAGAAGTACTGTTAGGGGAAATCTTTGGTATTTCAGTCGATAAATTAAGTTTATTTGTGCAGCACATTTTCAGCAACACGGCAGTTCAAAGTGGTTTACAGCAGGAAAACATAAAAAACATAATCTTTATTCTAAAATTTATTTTAGGTTTTTATGAAAGAAAGTTGTTTTCTGGTGTCTGTTGTTCCTCATAAACACTGATGATTCACTGTTTAATAAAATAAATTACAATCAAATGTACATAAAGGATATGAACACTTTAACCAAATTACTCCAAAAAAATAAATAAAAATATTAATATATTTTTAAAATTGTATGGTTTTTAATTCAAATTTTTGTATTATATCTAATATTTCTTGTCAATAATTATAAAATGTACTTTAAAATAATTTATTGGAATTATTTTAAAGTAATTTTCCCATATTTTGTTTGGCTGTCAGTCAATTTATCAAGCTATCATAACTAGCGAAGCTATCATAGCTAGCGAAGCTATCATAGCTATGATAGCTAGCAAAGCTATCATAGCTAGTGAAGCTATTATAGCTAGCGAAGCTAACATAGCTATCATAGCTAGCGAAGATATCATAGCTGTCATAGCTATCATAGTTAGCGAAGCTATCATAGCTATCATAACTAGCATAGCTAGCTTAGCAAGCATAGTTCAGAAGCACAAAATAGAAAAGTTTCTAAGAGCAAAGAGACGCGTTCAGCAGCTGTTCTGAGGAAACGCATCTGCAAAAAATCTAAATGGCCGACTGAAATCAGAAAGTAAGAGTTAGCATTTATGCTAAAGTAATAATAATTTAATATTGAATAAAAGTAAGAAAAAAGCATGGAAAGGTCTAGTCAACTCTTTAGCTAAACAATGAAGTAACATTTTTAAATTATATATTTTCTAAGAAAGACCGAAATGTGCCTTTAGTTTCTGGTTTTGCTTAAAGTTAAAATATTTTCCATGTTGCATTTTGTGCTGCTTCCTGCTCCGTCTCTCCGCTGACCTCATAGAGAAGTTATCGTGTATCATCTGCCTCATGGCCTGCGGTCGGCTCTGGATTCAGTTTCACGGATGTGAAACCTTTTGAAATGTTTTATTCCTCTCATGCATAATAAAGAATAAAGGCTGGTTCCCGCTGACCCGGTTCTGGTTCTGATGTGGTTGACGTCGTCCTGGTTCTGGGTTCAAGGAACACTTTGAAGATAATTCTGTTTTTATCTTCAAACAGCTGAGTCTGAGTGTTTTTACCGTCTCTGGGGAATTTCAGTAGGAAGCTTGAAGGTTTATGTTGCAGCGTTTTCAGTCTGACGCTGGCTGTTAGCTAATGGCTGCGTTTGTCCTGCTAGCTTGGTCAGCTGTGAAATTATTATTATTCTGAAGCTCATGAAGCTGCAAAATGGCTGCAGATAATCAGTTTTTCATAAAAATTTCAAATTACTTTTAAAACATGCGTTAACATTTGATTCCAGTGGAAAAGTTTTGATCGAGGCCCATTTGAATGTGTTGAAGCGATGCTAGCCGCTAGCCGCTAACTGCTAGTTTTCCAGTTTAATTATTTTCTCTAATCACTAGAAACTAGACCAAAAATACTCTAAGATCTTGTGTTTTCTTTAAGCCTAGAAATAATTTATTTTCTGTCTCGGTTTTCTACTGAAACTCAGAACTGAAGGCAGATTATTGGTGCAGATTGTTGTATTTTCCAGACGTTGTTTCATCGATCTGATTTATAACCAGCCTGTTTGTCTAAACAGTGCCGTCGTTGTTCCCATTTTTTTCATTTTTTTGTCTTTCTTTTGGCTTGAATCATAATTAATCAGTGAACTGACGGTAAACGAATCTTCACCTGTTGAGTTAATCGATGGACTCATGAGCTGCGATTAAAAGATGACATCTGGTTTCTGTTCTGCAGATCTGAAGCTTTTTCTGTTTGAGAAGATCAGAGGAAATATTCCCACTTCAGAATATTAATAAGGAAAAAATGAATAAATCATTAATGGAGAAATGCTGCACGGAGTAAAAGCTGGTTCGTTTAAGACTTATTTCTTTACACACTTCAGTGAAAACCAATTAAACGTGCCCACCACTGGTAGTAACGTTGTCATAATTAGCTAAAGCGCTAAATGAAAAATTAGCTTCCCTATGAGCAAAATTAGCTTATTAGTGGAGCCTATTGACCTCTGGTTATTGCTCTCTGAGGTAAATAGTAAAACCTTAGCTTTAGCTTTGGGGAATGTAAACATGTCGTCACGATGAATCAAAATTCTTCTGACGATGAAAAGAAATTCATGAAAATGTTGAGCAGTTTGAGAATTTTCCCACTTTCGCTCCGTCTTTGTGGACGCCTTTGACAGATCCCTGAACCTGGTGAAGCAGATCCTCCCCTCTGTCCTCCAACATCACAGCCTTTATTAGCCGCTGTAATTTCTACGGTTTTGTTTTTGCAGTGTCTCGGACTCTCAGTCGGATATCCTGTCGGCCGGTTTGTCCAGAGTTATTTTTGTCCCTGCGTTATCCGAAGGGAATCGGGGCGATGGCAGCTGACCGGGTTCAGCTGCTGACAGAGTTATGAAGGAGTGAAAATGGAGCCTTGTTGGAATATTTCAGAGCTGATCTGGATTTTCTCCACCAGTTCGAACCGCTGAATCCGCTCTGCACCTGCAGAACGCGGTTTTATTTTTGACCTGGATATTTTTAACTCAGTATTTGTGCTATTTTTTCCTTTGCGCAGCTCAGAGGGTCATCTTTCTGGGAAGACCCTGTTGTAACGTCAGGACAACCGTCCTGTTTTCCAGCTTCAGTCAACACCTCAAACAGCAGCTTCATAATCCAGATTATCTCTGAGATCCAGATTTAAATCTGATATTTGGACAATTCAAATACAAACTTAACAATTAGCTCCAGACCAAATATTTGGATTGAAGCTAAATGTTTTCTTTACAAATGCAATCATTATCTAGATTAGAGTCAACTAAATATTTAGCTAAATTTGATCCAAATATTTGTAGCTGTAT